AAAGGCAGGACTGGAGGAATCCCAAGCCAGAATTAAGATAGCCGGAAGAAATATCAACAACCTCCGATATGCAAATGATACCACTCTGATGGCAGAAAGAGAGGAGGAATTAAAGAACCTCTTAATGAGGGTGAAAGAGGAGAGTGCCAAACATGGTCTGAAGCTCAACATAAAAAAAAAACTAAGATCATGGCCACTGGTCCCATCACTTCCTGGCAAATAGAAGGGGAAGATATGGAGGGAGTGACAGATTTTACCCTGTTGTGCTCCATTATCACTGCAGATGGTGACAGCAGCCACAAAATTAAAAGAAACCTGCTTCTTGGGAGGAAAGTGATGACAAACCTAGACAGCATCTTAAAAAGCAGAGACATCACCTTGCCAATGATAGTTCAAGAAGGGTGTCACAAGACTCCTCATCCAGAGTTCTATGGCTAATTTATGCTTCTGTAAGGAAAATCACATTAACTCATGGTGGCAAATTGCTACTTATTTATAAGGTCCTCATTGCATTCCCTGGTGATCATGCATGTCGATGGGTGTCCCAGAACCCAACCAGCATCTCAATGATAAGTTGCAATGTGCTGCCAAGAGGTATGGGATTTTGCTTACAAAAAGGTAAATCAGCCATAGGACTCCACCTTTTGTTGTTTTTACTGAAAAGGATGAACAGGCAACACTGCTAGATTCCCTTGTATAACTACTGTACTGTCCAAAGGGGGGGAGGGACAGACAAAGTATTTTGACATTTTGGAAACTGACAGATGTTCCATCCAGTCAAAGGCAGCCTCTTGCATTGCAGAAATGCTATTCAGGTTCAGCGCTTGTAACTCAAAAGGAAATGTATTGTATAATAAACTGTTGTGACATCTTGAAGCCTACAAGAAGAGCAGGTGTGAAGTAGGAGGTAATGCATGTTGTAACACACTAACACTAGACCCTCTTTAAAAATAGCTGTATTTCATAGACTGTGGCTTAGCCTAAAATTCTTTTTGTAATATATGTTTAAGATCGCTCTGCATCCTCGCAGGTCCCCTCAGGGACGAGATGCAGGCGCGACCAGTGCGAACCCGATCGCCGAGGCTTGCCTGTGAGTCGTGGGCAAGGCATCGGACGGGGTTAGCTTCCGAGTAAACACGGGTCAGGGCGGCCGGGAGACTACCTGCTCGGGTGGCCTCCCTTTCCGCGTGCCCGCTGCCCAGCAACTGGACTTCCCTGTTCCTAAGCGCACTGACGAGCCCGGCCCTTGACATGCCAGGGATGGGCAAAGGGCGGGTCCTTCCCGCCAGGTAACGACGCGAGTGCGGGAGGAGGGCGTCGCGCGGTTGCTCTCAGTTTCGCCACGAGTTGATAAGTCATTTTGTGCTTTAGAAGCAGAAAGACGGCGGCTTCGCCTTGTGGCGGGACAAGGGGCGTTTTCCTGGGTCTCCTCGGGCCAGCTGTGGCTATGAGGCTTCTCCCTCGCTCCTGCGAGGGGCTTCTGACGTGGGCGCTGGTACTGCTCATCTTGTCCGAGAGTCATGGTGAGCGAGGACGGGGATGGGGGCTTGCTGGTGGCGGCGGGGTATTTATTTCGATTTTTGAAATTAAGTGCCGGCTCACTTCCCTGCCGGGATGACAGAAGCACACGCAATAATTTTTCCAGGTTTGTGTGTGTGTGTGTGTGTGCGCGTGTGCGTGCAAGGGCAGAAGCTGCACAGCGGTGAGCAGAGCGCACAACTTGCGCGCACAAGGTGCACCATTACAGCATAGGGTGTGGGGGACAGAAAGAAAGAAAGAAAGAAAGAAAGAAAGAAAGAAAGAAAGAAAGAAAGAAAGAAAGAAAAGAAACGTTGTGATACCTTAAAACTGCTGTATTTTAATGTGAGTTTTTCGTGGACAAGTCCACTTCTTCAGATCCTTGGTCTAAAGAAGTGGACTTGTCCACCAAAGCTCATCTTAAAATACTGTATAGCAATTAGTCTTTAAGGTGCCACAACCTTTTTGTCTTGTTTTGTTTTTGCCTAGCATGCTTGCACAGAATAACAGGGCTATGTCTTCTAAAACATACTGGACA